TCTGGCCCCTGCCATCTCCAAACACTTTCCCAAGGAAACTGTTGGATTGTAGTATCTTTGATGGCTAATATTGCATATGCTGACTTAACAGTAAACTTGCCATCTGTCGTTCCATTCCAAATTAAATGATCCTGGCCATCTTGACTAGAAGGAGGAAGAAAATTCATAAATCGATGCAGCACAGAATCTGGAAGCAATTGTCGAAGAGAATTCCATTTCCATTGCCCCAATTCATCCACGTAGTCCACCACCTTCTGAAGAGTATCACTAATAGAAAACTGAGAACCTGCATATGAGATCAAAGGACCACAATCTGGCAGCCAGCTATCAAGCCAGAACATAGTGGACTGACCATTGCCTAACTGCACCCGACTATGATCCATTATAATATTCCAATGACGCGTAATTCCCTTCCAAAGCTGGGAGCTGTTGTTTGGAGCATGAATAATTGGTGTCATGCCTGCCTCCACATTGTACTTAACACGTAAGAACTTTGACCACAAGGCATCTGGATGAGCTACGAGGTTGAACCCAACCTTCATGATAAATGCTGAGTTCATTTCCCTCATACTCCGCAGTCCAAGGCCTCCATTTTTTTTATCCATGCAAATCTGCTTCCAGGCCACAAGATGAGAACGTCTAGAGTGTGGAGATGAACCCCAAACAAAATTTCGAATCTTCCTATCAATCTCTTCACAGGTGACTTGCAGTAATGAACACACCTGCATTGGATATGATGGGATTGCTAATAACTCTGCTTTAGATAATGTAACACGACCTGCTAGAGATAGACTGGCATGATTCCAAGCAGCAATTCTAGAATTCATTCGATCCAAAACATAAGAGAAAGATGACCGACCCACTCGCTTATGATGCAAAGGAATTCCCAAGTATCTTCCAAGATCCGCAGTCAAAGAAAAACCAAGAAGCCTACTAAGATAGTTTGCTTGAGTATGACCCACATTCTGAGAAAAGAAAACTCTAGTCTTACTATGATTGACTTTTTGACCAGATGAATCACAAAATATATGTAAGGCCTGTTGAATTATTAACACTTGCTCCTGAGAAGCTTCTGCAAACAAAAGGAGATCGTCAGCAAAAAAAAGGTGGGAAATTTGTGGAGCTCCCCTTTTAATCCTCACTGGCTTCCACCTCCTGTGATCCACTGCCTGAGAAATGAGATGGGCTAGTCTTTCCATGCAGAGGACAAAAAGATAAGGAGAAAGAGGATCTCCTTGTCTTAAGCCTCTAGTTGGCCGAAATTCTTTAGTACAAGCCCCATTCCAAAGAACATTCATAGTGCAAGATGAAACACACAACATAATTAGTCTTATCAAATTTTCAGGAAGCCCTACATCATATAGGGTATCCTGAAGGAAATTCCAACTGATCCTATCGTATGCTTTCTCAAGATCAACCTTGATCGCCATCCAACCTTTAGATCCTCTCTTTTTCCTCATTGAATGGATTAGCTCTTGAGCAATTATGACATTATTCGTACCTTGTCTACCTCTGATAAAACTGCACTGATTAGGCATCACCAGCTTGTCCATCTGCAATTTTAAACGGTTAGCAACAATTTTTGTTACCGTTTTATAAATAACATTACACAAGCTAATCGGACGAAAATCCTTGAAAGTATGAGGATTCTCAAGTTTAGGAATCAAGCAAAGAAGAGTCTGATTCACTTCTTCTATACGACTAGGATCATTGAAGACTCCCTTAATGAAATTACAAACAGAGCTCTCCACTACATCCCATTGGCTTTGAAAAAATATGCTATGAAGACCATCAACACCAGGCGCTTTAAAAGGCCCCATTGAGAACACTACTCCTTTAATCTCTTGACTACTAGGGCAGCTCTCAAGAGCCATCATAACTCTCCTTTCCATTTCTGGGAATTTGTTCGTAATGGGAAAATTAGGCCGGAGAGGAATATCTTCCTTATATAAATTATCATAGTATTCCACTGCCATACTCATGAGAAGAGAAGGGTCAGCAATCCAATCCCCGACATCATTTTGAAGGGCATCAATCCTATTCCTCCTACGCCTGGCAACTGTTGCTGAATGAAAGAATTTAGTATTACGGTCACCAAACCGAATCTAGTCAGTTCTAGATCTTTGGTACCATGTAATCTCTTCTCTAAGATAAATAGTATTTAACTGTTGCCAGATCTCTTTCTGCAGCCTCTCCAGAGAATGACAAGGATGTTGACTTAAGCTATAATCAATTCCACGGAGGCGAGAATGAAGATTATTTTTTAACTTCTCCTCCTCCTTGTAACAATCCTTATGCCAGGATGTGGCTTTCTCTCGAAAGTTTTCACTAGATGCTTTCCAATTGTGACCACCTGCCCAGCACCTCTTCACTAGATCAGAGAAAGAATTATGAGTCAACCAAGCCGCTAGAAAATGAAAAGGATGAGCCCCTCCATTACTAAAATTTGGTTGTCCATCCCAAAGAAGGATAAGACGATGATCAGAGTTATAAAAAGGAAGGTGAGAGATAACTCTGTTCGAAAATGACATGTTCCAGCTTTGATTTACACAAGCACGATCAAGTTTCTCCAAAAGATTACCTCTTCTCCAAGTAAAACTCGGACCTTGGTGCCCCAGATCACTAAGATGACAAGACATAAGACAATTTTGAAAATCCTGCATGCTCCTCCAATTGTGAACTGAACTCCCCCTCTTCTCCTCCGAGTGAATGTAAGTATTAAAATCACCCATAATGCACCATTCATTATTATTTTGCGGCTGAATATTCTCCAAAGCATCCCATAGAGCATGACGCTCTTGACGCCGAGGACTAGCATAAACAAAGGTGAAAAATTCCTGCTTATGATAATTAAGCCAGCTTATCTTTGAATGAATAAATTGATGATCAGTATGCAGAACTTGGATATTCACTTCTGATGAATTCCAAAGAATCCATATGCCTCCTGAAAAACCAATCGGGTCAAAAATAAAAAAATTTGAGAACCCTAGGCTTTTAGCCACCTGCTTTGCACGCAGTCCACCAATACGGGTTTCCAAAAGCACTAAGATACAAATACGATATCTTCTTGTGAGGTCTTTTATTAGGGGGGAAAAGCCCTTTTTTCCAGCCCCTCTACAATTCCATGAAACAATATTCATAAAAAACAAATACAGAGAAGAAGAAAGAATGGTATGAACACCAATCATCGAGGAACAGTTTGCACACTTAAATCTCCCGAAATAGAAGCACCATCCGAATCCACCAAATTGTTGTGAGCCTGATTGCCTAACACCGATTTAACCAAAGCATCAGGGGGTTCATTAGTCTCCTTAAACTCTTCGTCCGGTATTAAGATTTTTCCATTTTGCTGGCCCCTCTCAAGAAGCTGATCATTCTCCTGTTTCCCGGAAATGGAACTAAGAGTCAGATTCGAGCTTGGAGAAGGATTCACGTTACGAGCTATATCATTGAGAAACATGTTTGTATCACCTTTAGTCAAACTCAAAAAAATTCTCTCCTTAGATTCCCTCGATAAAGATTGAGGTTTAGAGGGAAGCTTGAAAGACTTAGAAGATACTGCAAGACCCGTTTGTTTTTTCTTTAGAACAAAAGATTCCTTCACCGCCCCAGTCTTCTTCGGTATCTGTTGTTTATTTTTTCTAGAAACTTTAACGCTCCCATTCTGCAGGAGTTGATCTTCTTGGTTCCTTTTTTCCTGGGCCCCAATTGAAGGCTTAGTCAGACTATTAATTAGATCACCCATATGCTTAGCTGGCTGAGGAATATTTTGCGCTGACGTATCCATGATGGTTAACTGATTCAAATCAGGAATGTTGCTTGATTTCTGCAAATTAATTGCATTAAAATCCTGATGATTAGACATCCTTGCAACGTTATCATCTTTTGAAACTTTGTTAACGTCAGCAATGATTGCGAAACGTGAGCCAATTGGCTGGCCATAATTAGGGACCGTTTTTTTTGATAAAATCTCCCTCTTAACAGCACCTGTATTCACTCCTCCTAAATTGGCATTAACTTGCATGACAGCACCAGATTTTTTCCCCCCATTATTGGCAATTACACCAGGTGCGGATTTTTTGCTCGGAATTGAATGCACTTCATGAGCCTTCTCCTTGATTGCAGCATCCATAGCTGAATTCACGACCTTCTTTCTTCCTCGCTGGTTACGCTGGACAAGCATCCAAGAACCAAAAGCCTCCCCTTCCATCGCCACCTTATGCTGAATTTCTATTATTCAATATGTATAACATTGCATACGCACGTTGTGTACAAAATATGCACAAGCAATGTTCCATAAAAAAAATCTTGATTGTTGGTACTATAAATATATAGACAACCTTAATTTGAAATTTTTTTTCCTCTTTTGGATTAAGAAAAAAGAAGAAAAAAAATCATTGTTTCCAAATTATGGTACCTTCCGTGTTAGTTTCTCATATGAATTCATATGATTTAGTACGTTCTCATATTGGCAATGATCATTAATTTATGGGAAAAAAGACTATCATTTAAAAGTATACAAGTTGTGTCCTTTTAAATGATTTACACAAAGTATGACCGGTCATACTGTGTAAAGTGAAAAAAAGCAACTTTTTAGAATTACACAGAGTATGACCGGTCATACTCTGTGTAAGTCACTAAAAGTTGTGTCCTTATGAATGACACACACTAAATCCTTAATTTATTACATATTATTTTATAACTTATGTGGGATTAGTGCATAATTGTTATAGAATTTATGACATTTTTTTTCCTTTATTGTATACTAAAATCAATCAAATTTATGATTGTTTATACATGATGCAAATCAATTAATTACTGATTATGTTGCTTCTTCCATATTGAATTACATTCTCTCTGTCCAATCCCACGTATTTTAGCCCTAGAAAACGAGCTCTCTAACTTTCCCATCAGTATTATATATAGCTAGCTCTTCCTTTTGACATTTACCATAAATCTGTCTTTCATCCAAGTTTGTTCTTTACCACAAATCTGAAAAGATGTCTCAAAGTTTAGTTTTTCCATTTCTCATCTTTTTTGTCTCATTTGGCGGCTTGTCTTTTGACTCTTTCCTGGAGTACCCACGCTTTCAATCAGGTTATCCACGTTACTCGTGGCCTGGGAGGCTAGATAAGCCAAAATATGAATGTTTTGGCTTCACCACTTGGGCTGATCGATTCACCCCATCTGAAGTGTCTCAAAGTCGATTCACCCCATCTGCTTTGTCTCAAAGAGTGGAAAATGTGAATGTCTTTGGAGCCAAACCAAACTATGATGGAGATGATTCCCAGGTAACGTAACAACAACAACATGATAAACATGACATATATATATATATATATATATTCAATAGTCCATTTCTCAATCTCTTAACCTTTTTTTTAATTGTGCTTTAGGCATTTGAGAAGGCATGGAATACGGCATGTTCTACAGGGAGTGTTCTTTTGGTCCCTGAAAATAGTGTCTATTATCTAAAGCCAATAACATTTTCAGGCCCATGTAAACCAAATACTGCCTTTACGGTGAGATATATGTTCAAAAGCAATATTTATTGATAAATCATTTGTTTATCACTGGTAGTTCATTCTAATATTGTTATGTGTTTCCTTCTTCTTCATGTTAGATCCATGGAACAATCATTGCATGGCCTGATATGTCAGCGTACGAAAATACTGAAAAAAGTGGCCTCAAATTTTGGATTATGTTTAATGGTATCACGAATCTCAGAGTTGATGGAGGCGGCCTCATCGATGGGAATGGCAAGAAATGGTGGATGAACTCTTGCAAAATCAACAAAAGCCTTGTAAGTTATTGAAGTTTGACTCTATTGACTAAAACTCCTATTCTATTTTTACATTGTTCTGTTGGATTTATCTCTGTTAAATCAGAGAATAATTAATATTTGAATAACCTTTGATAATAATAATTATTATTTTTGCAATAAATATTGAATTTTAAAGAACACATATATATGACTATCTCATATTTAAATCTTTCTTGATTTTTAATTTATTGATTTTCAATACTGACCGTTATTTCGTTACTCTCCTCCTTTTGTTTCACAGCCATGCAAAGATGCGCCAACTGTGAGTATATATGTGTAACCTACTTAATGTTCTTCGTAACATATATACTCACAGTTGGCGCATCTTTGCATGGCTGTGAAACAAAAAGAGGAGAGTAAAGAAATAACGGTCAGTATTGAAAATCAATAAATTAAAAATAAAAAAAGATTTAGATATGGGATAGTCATATATATGTGTTCTTTAAAATTCAGTATTTATTGCAAAAATAATAATAATAATTATCAAAGGTTATTCAAATATTAATTATTCTATAATTTAACGGAGATAAATCCAACAGAACAAAGTAAAAATGGAATAGGGGTTTAGGGCAATAGAGTCAAACTTCAATAACTTACAAGGTTTTTGCTGATTTTGCAAGAGTTCATCCACCATTTCTTGCCATTCCCATCGATGAGGCCGCCTCCATCAACTCTGAGATTCGTGTTACCATTAAACATAATCTAAAATTTGAGGCCACTTTTTCCAGGATTTTCGTACCCTGACATATCAGGCCATGCAATGATTGTTCTATGGATCTAACACGAAAAAGAAGGAAACACAGAACAATATTAGAATGAACTACCAGTGATGAACAAATGTTTTATCAATAAACATTGTTTTTGAACATATATCTCACCGTAAAGGCAGTATTTGGTTTACATGGGCCTGAAAATGTTATTGGCTTTAGATAATAGACACTATTTTCAGGGACCTAAAGAACACTCCCTGTAGAACATGCCGCATTCCATGCCTTCTCAAATGCCTTGGTTTTGCAAGAAACATAAGATTTATGAACATAGAGATGCAAAATGTGTCTAATCCCATATTCATAGATCAAAACTACTGTGACCAGTCAACTCCATGCCCAGAGCAGGTGATTACTAAATGTTCTCGAACTGCTTGTCCTTTATATAGAGCAATTTTTTCTATATATGATATATAGCAATATTGCATGAAATTTATCATGATAATAATGAGGACCATCTTGGTGGAATGACAGGGCTCTGCAGTGGAATTGAGCGACGTGCGGTATCAAAACATTAAAGGAAAGAGTGCCTCAGAAGTAGCAATAAAACTTCACTGCAGCAAAAGCATCCCTTGCAAAGGACTCTACATGCAAGATGTTGTTTTAACACCAGTAGACGGTGGCGACATCGAGGCTTCTTGTGAGAATGTTGAATATGTCAACAGAGGAAAGCTTTACCCTCAATGCGTTCCAGCTTGAAGAAAGAAGGAATAATAATGTGGTTGTTTGCATTTGCAAATTGAAATTCCTATTATGTTATTTATTATTAATTAGTAAGTTTCCAATTAAGTTATTTAGAACTAGGGCACAAATGCATATTCTCGTGTTGCTAGTCTAATTTTTTTTTGATTTAACTATGGTCATTTTGTTTTTATTTTCTAATAGAGATTTTTTGTTTTTGTTTTCATATGAGACTCTGTCCTGTATTAAGAAATTTAATCATTTGTTATATTTACCATAAAAGGAGACTTATTAAACTTGTATTCTTTCGATTTGTAAGTTTTTTAATTAATTATATATTTCTTGCTTTTAAACTTTACATAAATTTAAATAAAATAATTATAGTTTAATATATTAAAGTGATTTTTTAAATATAAAAAATATTTATTTCAATAACCAACCTAAAGACCTCTTAGTACAAGAGCAAATATTATCTACAATATGGTATTTAAAATTTTTATACAAAAATTAATTTGTCCTAATATATCTTAGCACGGACAAAAGAATAACGGTAACTTTTATCAATAATTCTTAATTTTATTTTTATTTTGTTTAAAACAAGTGAAAATATTAAAACTGTGTTATTTATGTCCTATAAATTGTATAAAAATCTCCCACCAGCTGGGAATCCAAGAATATCGCCCCATAGTGGCATTAT